TTTAGTATAATTGTATTTAGATTATAATGATTATACTTACTGACACACTAATGGATTTATTTATGTATGTATTTTAAATAGTACAAAAGCTACATCTGAGACTACTATTAAGAGGGGTCCAGGGGGCAAGCCTCCTGACTTTTGCTGAAGCCGAAAAAGCGAATACTGTAATGTAAACATATGACTCGCGTTAGTCAGTAATTAACACGAGAACCCAATCACGGAGATAGTAAAACGCCGTTGAATAACAAGCACTAGGACCCTGAATATCAGCTGACTATAAGTATCTGTAAATAGTAAAGAAACTCAACTTTGAAGGGAAGGGAATCATTCAACAAAGAAGTATGAGTGCTTCTGTTGTCCAATACATGGAATCAGGCACAATGCTGAAACACAACACATTTGAAGCTTAGGGTTAAAACACGATCACGGATCAGAGGGTATCCGAGCTCTTTGTAAGTTCACCGCTCTCTGCACAACTGAGAGGGCGGAGAATACTTGTTTATCTGCAATTATGTTGCTTTGCAGTGTGTTTTTGTGCTGAAGATCTGAGTCACCAAACTTTTCAAGGGTGGTACAAAGGAGGTGTGAGTAGGCTGTTTCAACGAAGGCTTGGCATAACTAAATACGAAGTTGGTACGTACAGAACACCGCATAATTGCCACTCCCCTCGCATCTTCGTCTCACACTGAGTCCTGCACTTTTATCATCACACTGATACCATAAGTGTAGAGTGTGTGAGCGCTAGGAAGCAACATGGTAGCGAGGTCTCCATTGCATTGTCACACAGCCAAATGTATTGTATCTCAACTTCTTGTGGCCAGGCCCAGCAGACTAGTGCAGAACTTCACTGCTTTTCAAGAGAGTTTTTATAATTATGAACTGGGAAAGGCAATCTCCGTTCGGAGTTTCCTATTGCATTTGCTATGAGGTAATTTCTCAAATCCGGACTCGTGTTTTCACGTGCTTGCCTCAACTGAACACTACTAACTGCATTCACGCTGCTCGTTTCTGGTAGGCTTCTCAGAAAATTCGACCAAATCGTCTCCTGTAAATGATGGTACATTAGTTGCTACTATGCTAACTTCATTTTTTTCTGGAATATCTGACACAGCCTTACGAATCTCTTGCCAGTGTGTCGTGAGAGTCCTTGCGAGCCAAGCCATTGCTTACATGTCCAGTGTTCATTTATTTTCATAAATCAGACCACCTATTCAAACCAAATGGAATCAGACCGTGCTGTAGCAGACAGTCTTGATACAAAGGTAGAGAAGATTGCCAACTACGGCTAGAAATTCTCGAGCAATTGTACGGCGTGCTAACAGCGGGCCCCGCAACTGAATACTGAAAGGATTTATCGCTTTATAAGGGAAGCGAAGTGGACGGTAGAAGAGAAAGAAGGGGAAAATACATTCGAGTTAGCCGCTCTCCCCGAGCTCCAATTAGCAGAAGTGGACGCGTTCTCTCGGTGATATTATTTGCAAGGCTTGTGACCAGGCCTGACCCACGCTGGATGAACGCGAAGGTCAACTCAGTCTCAATTGCTACAGCCCCCCGCTGCGGTTAGTCGCACTTTCCCGTCCAAGGTCTTGTTTGCCATAAGTGTTGCACGGGGTGAAGCTTTGTAAAGGGCACTCACTGTTCAGGAGCTGACCTTCCCTCCAATGATGAGTCCAATCATTACGTCCGTCAATCTTGCTTCTCTACTGCCTGCACGAAGTTACAGATGCAGTCTCTATGAGATCCCGTTGCGCTTCTCCATACTGAAAGTATATGGTCAATCTTGCTCCTATGTTAGTGTACCTTCTTCCCTGTTTGGACTGCACCGGTCCTCAGCTTCGCCCATCACCGCATAGTCTCTGTCTACCTCATTAATAGGATAGAATGGCGTAACAGCGCAGATGAGTTTAATTTTTTTAAATTTTAAATCGATTCAATTTGATGTAGTTATCTAACTTGCAATCTTGACAAAGTAGTGTGAGATTCCTTTACGCTCTTGTTTCTTTATCCTCGAATGCCTAGAGTGGAACCCTGTTGGGAAGGATGCTTAGGATCCTCAGTACGTGTCGCTTTCTGGTGTTCTCTCCCTTCACTGATTTTATTCCCAATCAGTAAGTGTTAAAGAGTGCATTATCTCCTTTTCTTTATTTACCATTACTTTTACCTTTCTTGCGCTCATTGATTTTCATGCAAGGGTCTTCCTACATTGAGTGCTCTAAATGCACGTCATGATGTTTGACGCCGCCGAAGCGTAAGTCGCAAGCAGTTCCTATTTTAATCTAAGCTCTTTGACTGCGACCCTGGCTATACGCCAGCGCATATTAAACAGTTTGCCTTCCTTCTGTCCGGATCAGAGCATGTAGCTTAACTATCCCACTTACCTCGGGATCACAGAACTCCTCTCGCTTTGAGGTCTATGACCGATAAAGATGACGATTGAGTGTTCTGCCATTGGATACATTGCACACATTAATATTGCTGTACGCAGCTCTTACTGGATGCAGAACTCATTCACTAAGCACACCAAATTCCAAGACTGTCTTTCCCAGCTCTACTGAATATGTTAGATAAACATACATGCGGCGCAAAGCGTTTACCGGGACCAGTTCTGTTGTACTTCTTGTCACCCTAGAGTATTCGCTTCATTTATTTAGCGGCCTATCCGCCCCGTCGTGGGTCAGGCAATTGGTATGAAGAACAAACTGCCTGACCGATCACGTTGCTAGTGTGATCAACGGAGACCGCAAGAAGTATAGAGCGTCAGTCTACGCTCATCGGTCCCTATCTTTTTCTCACCACTTACGAAGGAGATCTGGATCTTGTGTCCTGAAAGATGCTTCGCTCAATCCATCAAACTTCTTTGAAATCAATTATTCTAAGATGACTTCTGAAGTATCCGCGTGTATTTCACCTCCTTCGGTAGGTTCAGATAGCTTTTGCGGTTGTTCGGACGTGACGTATTTTCGTCAACTAATGCATGAATATAGGTATGGTTTGTCGACCGATCGGAGCAAGATTACCTTTTTGCCCTCCAGTTATTCACTCACTCTTAACGGCTTTGATTTAGTGCATGCACGTGCTTTCTTTACTGCATACAAGTGCGACGAAGCGGTAAATGCACCGTTCTTCGGTTTCTTTCCCGCCTCATTACTGTGCTGCACACGACTCGAGCCTGTTGTGTTCGCACAGGCTCACGCGAAGTTGCATTCTTTGCGAAATAGACAGTAAACGTGCATTTCATTCCTATCACTTCTATTTGAAGGAAAAACCTGCGATAGAGAGGCAGTGCCGGGGATACGTTCCGACCTAGAGTACTTCTCGTGCGATATTGATCCGGAAACATCACTGGGTCCGTCTGCTTTTATTTTATCCCGTTGCTTCCATGGTAGCTGATGTCTCAGGACCTCTAACATAACAGTGGAGTAGACTTACACCCTACCGACCATCGTCCGCAGTACCGCTGGCTGACCTGAGACCCTGGATTGCTAAGAGCTCAAGGGGAATTTTGCGCCGCCGACAGTATACGGACGGTGCCATGAAAATGCGGGCGGTGAAACACATCCGTGCCTGCTGGATGGCCCGGAAGGTTTGTCAGCGCCAAGTGACCTATTGGACGCTCGATCCTATTGCAACTGCTCCTGAAGGTTGCCATATTACCTTGCATTTTTTTCGTACTTTCCCAGCTTGCTACAGATGCATTCGTTCGCGCCTAGCAATCTTCAGATTCACTGAAGCTATAACAAGCGAGCCATATGTGCTTCTACGTAACTTGATACAGCGGAAGGTTCCAAGTGATCGCAAAGCTTGGACAAACTTGCTTCCGTTGCTGCATTGTCAGTGAGGGCTATTTTATACGTGGAAAGTCATCACGTGCACTTAGAGACTGATCTGAATTTACATCTTCCTTTATTTTGCCATTACGTACTTGATCGAGCAAATAACTTGAACTAGAAGACCCCCTCGAGAAAATCCTGCTTGCAGGTGGTCAAGAGACCCTTCCTACTTCAGTCACACACGAAATGCACACGCACACTCAATAGGGATGGACCTCCGACACTATTATATTATATACCAAATTCAAGCACGATTCACACAAATGGGAGCCAGTTTAAAAATTCAAAGAAGCCAAGTCTGGCGAATTGTACCGGCTCCTACAAGTCATTCTTCCGTATCTATCCGCCTGAGGGGAAATAAATTCACCACGAACTCAGTACGCGTGCCAGTAGCTGATCTAGGACAGTAAAATCGAGTGAAATCGGCGTTTTTCACAAAGTCCGTTCCATCATCCAGGTGTTCCTGAAAGGGAAGGCGATCACATCAACGTGTTTCGTCGTGTGTCAAAAAAAGCGTTGATCTACACAACTCCCCATTCATTACCGTGCTGGTTCCTCTCGGACACTCAAACAGTAACCAGACGTAGTATTGGGTTACGCGATATCACTAAGAGGTGCACGACAATGTATTTCCGATAATTGGCGTAATCATGATTGCAGCATTCAAAGAAGCGAATAGCATGGTTGTCTTGGTCTTTTGTATACGCATCCGATTTCATCTTCGGTGAGGTTTGTTTATGTGCTGAAACTGCGGCGCTGATCATAGCAGGATATTTAAAACCGGATGCTCATGTGCGTCCAACTGCTTGAGTTCTTACTTCTCTGTTTCGCTTCTGGACCATTCGATTCTGTGCACAAAGCGCGGCTGAAGTCCGTCTAGATTGTCCAAGTACTTCCGTCTGTCTCACGAATCTCTTCGCTCTCCATACGTTGCTCATGGTGTTCACTTTCTATAAATTACCTTAGGCTTTGACCGAGACGACGTACACCCAAGCTCAATGTACACGAGTCAGTTTCACGCGTCTCAGATGGAATCGGGTTCGAGTTCGCCATCACCCTCGTTGGGCCAACCAGGAAAGCCTACACGTCGCAGAGCTCCCAAAGCATGCGGAGAGTGTAGAAGGTAGGCCTCACTTTCCCCCTTCACGTCATGTCGATGACCTTTACATGATCTTCAGGTTGAAGCTGAAGTGTGATCGAGTACCTGTCAATTATTTAGTTCTAGTCTTCCTTGTTAATCTAACTGCGGTTCACCAGGTATTCCCCTGTCAGTCCTGCGTGAAGCGCGGCTGTGAAGGCATATGTCCCGAAGGTCGGTGCCCACATGATCATCTATCGGAATGTCACTTATTTCCTGTCACTCAGGATCCTTGGTGTCTGGAAGAGGGAGTCGGTACGAAATCCATTGGCTTCTCATACATGACATGCAAAATCATTTTCTATAGGTATATACTGGCGAATACGGAACAGCTCCATGAGAAAATAATTCAACTGACGGATCGCATCCGGGAGCTCGAAGACGCGCTAAGGGTGACGTGCGAAGAACACGCACGTTGTCTAAATCCGAAGTTACCACCTCTTGACCCTCCTCACCCTCTCCTAAGGGAGGATTTGCTCCTAATAAAAAATCAACTTGAGCTCTACGGCCTCGACAGATCCCAGCTTGGTTCAAGGTCTTCGGATTCCCAGTACTTTAGTGACGGCAGTGACTTGGACCCAAGGTTAGGAGGCGATCAGCATCAACCATATTCGCCGCTTGAGATGCCATATCCGAACTCTGCTCAGCAGCTGATGGAACCAGCACACGCGCGACATGTCAGAGGCCATGTAAGTTTCCTAATCGCTCTTTCGTAGTATGTCAAACAAACAAATCTCACATCATCGCCTATATACAGAATTTTAGTACAACAGCGCAGACCTCTTCGGATGGACCGTTTGTTTCCTCGCAATGGTTCACGAACTCTCAGGGATCGACACCGTATGGTTCCGAGATGGACATGGCCCATAATAACACTGTAACACAAGCCCCTTATTCATATACGGGTTCCTATATGCCTGGAGCGGAGGGACAACTGCAGAATTATCACGGACGGAGCCCTCAGCATTTGTCCCAGGGTGTCATGAGTACGAATACTTCGCAGTATACGAATGACCTCCATCATCATGCATCCACCTCGTATTCTCACAATCAGTCAACGTATTACCACCCGCCTACTTGAAGAACCCGTTGACATGTTCTCAAGGAGTCTATTGGGATTGCCCCTCTTAAATCCTTTCCGCTGGGCGTGAAAGCCATGAATGCTTTGCTCACAAGCAGATCCGTATTTTCTTTGGGCCGCGATTTTTTCTTACAGCAAATTTGGCGCTTTGTACTTTACACTGCTTCCGTACCAAGATAGAAATTGTATTAGTGGAATTTGAGAAAAGTTTATTCCCAGGAGGATGTATTAGATGTAATGCCTTTTAATTATAAGGATGTTGTGCTTCTACGTCTGAACTTCTTTCGCGGGGTTCATTCGTCCCTCTTATCTCGTAAGACATATAAGGGTAAATGGTCCGCGGCGAGGTTTCGATGTCTGTTACGAGGCTTCTCTTCGGAGCGTGTAAAGCGGGAAGCAGCATAGCCTGCCTGTGAGAACCACCGGTGTACCCTGCAAAGGACATGCGGGTGGTAGTGAAATGACTAACTATTTAGCGTTGACGTTCCTGTTCCTTATTTCTCTAGCCACAAGGTCAATGTGGATACTATCGAATGACGAGCAGAGAAAGAAGAGAGGTAATTTGTTCAGACGTAAATATAGGCGAACCGCTTTATCCTCAGTTGACCTCCCCGCCGCCTGACTTGTAGACAATCTTGGAAGCCGTCTCGACACGTCCGTTGACCTGGGCTCCGTCAAGTGTCAGCAGACAGAGCTCCCATTTCCTCAGGACTATTTTGGACCAACCGGCAGTAGCCTTGTATCATTCGCCAACGCACACTTCTTCCAAGTCACTTCGTTCTGGACCTTCTTGTATTCACATTCTTCCGCGGGGCCACAGACAATACCACGCCCTGTAATTACACACAACTCAACGAATGGTAATCTGGAGTAAAGTACGAGGGAATGTTACATACAATTGTGAGACCATTGTTACCCAGACATATCCCAGTTCACTATTGGTGAAACACTGTCTAAGAGCCTGAATATTTCATTCCGGCGCTTATCTTCCTCTGCTCTCCCCTCCATCCGAGGCCTACCTTCGCCTGGGGCTATTTCTTTTGCACACCCAATATGTGGTGGGCTTTGAATTGGATTTTATTTCAGAATAGTACAAGGAGCGTGGGGAAGGGGAAAAGGTGGTGTCTTGATTAGTCTGATCAGTAAAGGATGCGCCGATGCGGTCCCCGAGTCGCAAGGAATTCAGTGAATAACCCTAATATCCCGCCACTGAATGAATATCTACCATGTCTGTCCGACACGGAGTACTTTGACATCTAATGTAAGCATTGCTTGGCAACTGTTGGGAAAAGACTCCTGGTTAGCTATGCGGTTCAGGAGACTCCCTTGCTATCGATGAACAAGCGGCTCTGTTGAAAGCTACAAAAAAAGAAGGTATGTGATTATGCTAGTAGAATGATTAACAAAGGTGGTCGTAAGACTGTGGACCCGAGTAAATTCTATGCAAATGCCTGACAAGATGTGGAACTACCATTTGAAGGCCTCCTATTGGCCCAATGTTGGGATCTGCTTTGATATGCTATCCTGTGTCAGAATGTGGCAAAGGCAAAAGCAATCACATGATTGTGAAAAGTAGTGCCCAGCACTACATAAGAGAAACAGCTGATCGCAATTCTTCCGATTCTGCCGTTCTGTCTGTTGTTTGAAATGGTAAGTTCCAAGCCATTATGCCCCTAAATTTTTTCGTCGTTCGTTGTTTTGACATAAGCAGACCAGCAGACGTTTGGTAGAGTGTGTGAAACACATCACGACATAATCACTACAAACTAGCATCCAACAGCACAAGTTCAGCAGGTCCTATACAAATTTCAATTCTTCTTAGATTTATGGAATCGAGCTTACTGTATATATTTCTCAAGGCCGAGTCAAATCCTTCCCGGATGCAATTGGAAATCGAGGCTTCAATATACTGTGTCCATCATCCTTTATACACACAAAGGGGAAAAAAGCCTTTCGATCGTCCTTCCCAACAATTGTAGCATAGCATTGACTGCCGAAACAGAGCTGCTGCGAGACGCTGTCGTACAACGTAAATCGAAGCACACTCCAAATAAGACAATATTGAGAGCTGGTGTATCACTTATTCCATTTGGAACGTAAGAAATCGAAGCGTTCAAGGAAGGTAGACGGTGCCTCGAGATAACCGCGAGTTTCCAATGTAGCTACAACTACGATCAAAAGTGATCGTTACACGAATTCACGCCGTCGACGAGGGTAATGGCGATAGTATTGGATACGAAACGTATCCTGTACAATGGTATTAGGGTCTCCGGCGCCGTAGAAAGGAGTTGAGGTAATCCACAGCTCGTAAAAGCAAAGGAATGTATACATGTAATAGAACTCGACGGAGAACATTCCGGCCGAATATCAACCAACTTCTAATACTCGTCTCAATCGGTGATTAGGCCCATGGACAAAGTTGGTCAACGTTACTTGCGTTGGAATCTTCCATACAGGCGGCGCAAACCATCAGCAACGTAGCCATTGGTTCTGAACAAGTTGCTTGAGCCTTCTGGTTCATCGAGGTATTTTTGGACTTGAATCCGCGGTCTTCCATAATCACGTAGAAGAATACACGAGGAACAAGGATCAATCATCGAGGCTGCGAGATACGGAGTAAGCCCTCAAGGAGATCCAACACACACAAGGGCTGTAGCTGCACCTCGTAAAGGTGAATGTGTAAACAAGGCGACAAACATTCATGCTGCGGCCTGTGTAGTCCGACTGCGGCCAGGAAGACCATACGTGTGCTCGGGAACTGAATTATCGGCTTAACTCACTCCGTCTTCGATGACAAAAAAAGATCAGTCTCACTCCTCGCTAGCCTTGTCTATTCCACTATGGTTGGGTGCAAGTCAAGGTGTTATTGATCCTCCGAATGCGACGATCATTAAACACAGGCCGCGCAAGTCCTCCATATACCGAGGACGCGCAACAGAAGCTGCTGCTTCATGGCGCGACGCTCGGCGCAGTCTGGATTCCAAATACAAAGTTACCTGAATCCGGAACGATGTTTGAGAAAACCCGACAGTTCATCCAGATCTGACGTAGGCTAGGTCTGCCAAGTTTGCGAAATTGCAAAAGCAAGGTAGATATATTCTGAACCCAACGCCGACGCTAATTTCTGGGGCGTTGTTTTGCAACACGTTCGGGCAGAAATTCGGGAGCAATAACTTATCGCTCCGACATAATCGCTCCAGGAAAACGTGGTCGGGATGTTTTGAGGAGCCGCCGGCATCAAGTATATGGAGTAGCCTTGGGTCGATTGGTCTAGCCCAATGGATCGTGACCTTTATGCGATAATCGTGCGTAATTTGAAATTGCGCTTATGAGAGGAGACTGTCAGGATTCTTGTCGATTTGATGCCGTGCATAATGAATCAGGTAAGTCTTACACTAAACTCGGTAACAAATATTCGTCTGTCTCCATCGATCGACACATTTCAGGTTTGCTCTGGGGTTCGAGCCATGATCATCCGTGAAACGCATTCCATGTACGGGGTTGCCCGCATTCCAGATAAGCTGCGACCGAGCAATCCGCGGCGTCGACATCGAGTCGGTGCACCAATGAGACGCTTCCTTTCTCAAGACATGAGTAAGCAAGTGTCGCTCGAAACATTGAAAGCTCTGTCAAGTATCGCGCCAATCGGTTGATAGCATGAAGTTGCAATACACTGGATTACGAATTGCAAAACGCCCTGTTTGATTTCGGGACTGTATGGAGGCTTGAAGGCTTGTTCCAAGGTTTAGAAGGATGGGTAACCTAATGGGGCTGGAAGAGACATGACTCGAGCATTTGAAATAAACCAGCGGGAAGCGTGCGCAGTTAGTGCTACGCACCCTCAACGAGACTACGCACGGGTAACTGGAGTTAACAGAAATACACACGAAAGTCTATTGCAAAGAGTTCGGTCCTTCCCTTGAGAGATAAGATTAGACCAACCCTCGTATTCCCTGCCTGGTGGATTCGGAGTTGGGGGAGAGAGTTGAATTCTCCTATTAAGTCAACCTTCCAAGAAGTCCTGAGGTGACTATATTTGAATGCCGTAACTATTGGCGCCGCGATGCGTATGCGCATACGTGTACACTTGCAGAAATAGTGCTGCGGAACACATATGCGGGATCGAAAGTAGTGGAATCAAATTCCATCTCGCCGAATTTGATCATCAAACAGCGTCTATGCGGAGCCCATGGCACATCAAGCGCATAAGAAATCATGTGCGTGTATTCAGACCAGCACGTTCCGGAATCTGTACGGAAAGACAGACGGGTCAGGCAGTTATTGAATGCTTCACAGATACTAAGGCGCTCAGTATTGAGGGCTGAATTTGACGAAGGCACGTTTAAAGAAATTCCCGCGTGCGCTCAAGCAGTGGAGTCGAGCGATTCATTCTCTGTCCACATGCAAGGTACGTTGAATGACTCGTCATTGAGTTGGTTAAATGTGTGTATTAGGATTTCGGGTCTTACCGCATGCGGTAGGCCTGTTAGGCGTCGTAATTCCGTCATACATACGGGACACTTCTGCAACTCTGTACTCAATCCAAAGCAGTTAGCAGAATCGCGCGCCACAGAGGGCCGAAGTCGTCTTGATAAATTCGAAAGGGGATGATGAACCGGCCAAAGCCACTAGGAGAAGGTTTGTCACTACCTGCGGGCGGCGCCGAATCAACGACGGCAGCCATGACCTGCGCACGAAAAGGTCAGCAATTTGAGCGCAACAGTGCGCTGTCGGACACGTTTCATGACCGACGGGATCGACTAACGAAGGCTCTGAATTCGCATTGACCTGTGTGCTGAGGCCGTGAAAGCAGTGTTGCTAGATGGAGGCAGAAAGAAAGTGACAGGACTGAATTTGCGATAGTCGCGGAGTTTGAAAGTGCGGGAAACTCCCAGGCCACGATGCAACGAACACAGCTTCAATTCTTTCTCTTTCCACCTGCTCCAATCATCCAAGCCAAGGGGAACTGTCCAGATGTCCACCAGAGATGCGTTGCAATCGGCACTGTGTTCCAATGGGAGCATTTGTTACCAAATTCGTCGAGGTCTGGCTCTCTGCTCTCCATCATTGCAGTTCTTCTTCTAGATCTGACTGCGGTCTGTGAGTCCCCTGGTCCCTTGTCTTTCTCGCGTGTTGTTCTCGGTTCGTGAACAGCCTTTTTCTGCCCAGGTCTGCTCTACGGAAAGCATTTTCCGTGTTTTGAAATGTGTACGGTCTTGATCATCCAACAGTCCTTATCTGCGAATGGACAGAGTGGATAACTGACTTGGTTGAGTTATGATCTCAGGGTCAGCTTCTGCTCCACGTCAGCTTCTCTGTCCAAATCGCCACCCATTCTATGCTCCAAGTGCTTTCTCACTTTCGGCGAGGGACATGTGCTTCCGCGCCAGAGGTGTGGTTTCCTGATCGGGTGATCCTGTGCACGCGCCTTTGGCCCCGAAACTCTACCCGCCCGGGATGACCTCAGCCCGATTTCTGACACGCTCTCGTGTATATTTGAGGCACAACTGAACTGTACACTGCATATCCAGGGTTCGCTTGCCACCCAAAACATTTCCGAGCACTAGCTCGTTATCGCAACACGAGTCAGTTCGTCTGCACAGCTCTGACGGTCCCGCATTCCTTAGCGATTCCTTATTCTCATTTGCGAAGAGCCGCCCGTCCCTGCTCCGCAAATATAAAAAAGACGCACATTTGTTGGTTGAGCAACTCATCCCACTCACCAACTGCGTCCGCTATCTACTCCAGCTCCTCCAACCCAGTCCACAATAACCCACGCGATGCCCCAATTTCTCCTCCACCACTCGCTCGCATTCAACCCGCAGAGCACCCACCGATACCAAGTTGAACCAGCGTTGCTATGGGACTTGCGCTTCCCTGCCGATTATGCACGCCTCGCATCTATGCGTGACCGTCGAGTACCTTCCTCCGTAGCAGTTCAATATGCAACGTCTCCTCCCGTGCCAATTTTCCGCATTACCTGCGGTATATTCCCATACCGCGAGTGGACGATCGAAGTCCGTAATTCGCGCGGTGTCACCGTTGGCGATGTCTTGAACGCGCTTTACCGCGAATTGCGCCACCGCGTCTCGAACACGGAATGGACCGCTGCACCGAGAACTCACCAAGCACGTGTTGCGGAGACGTTCTACACCCGCTGCCGAAGATCCGCTGATCCGCGATACGAGCAACGTGCAGGTGTAAGGCGGATTGACTGGCTGCTCAAGAGCACAGTCTTCGTCGGGTTGACACCCTCTGTCGAACGCGCATATACTTGGACCCTCACAACGAAGCGTGCTGACAAGTAAACGCGGACGCACGTTGACGAGCTATACCACCCCACCTCACTATTCTCTCCCACTTTGGTACCGGCCTGCCGATTCCGAAGTCCTCTTCTGTCTCTGCCTTTCTGTCATTCATTTTTATTCTCTTCTGCATTGCATCTGTTTATTCCCATTATTATGGCCACGAACCATGATGAACGCACGCATTTCACATATGATTATCCCTAGCATTTGTATATTTTCCTCGCATCGCATTTGTGTATTTGTACTGCACTTCCTGTCTACCCTGACTGCTAATTCCTAATCTTTTCCTTCTCGATATCGATTCGGCTCCATAGCCTGTGGCTTTAATTAGCCTTTCTCTAGTTTCATCGCTCGTTTTCACTTCTGTTCACCTTGCTGTTTCAGCCTACAGTGCTGCACTGGTCATTACGTTCTTGTCTGCTCTGCTCTCTTCTCTTCTTGCATGTACTTGATGTACACATATGCTGTTGATGTTTTTCTATGAGCATTGCAATATGATTTGACGATTATAATTAAATAATAGCACTTAGTTATCTTGTGCATCTGAGAAATGGCGATCGTACTCACCTCCCTTTCAGGTGATCGACGAGACATCACTTCGACTCTTGAAATTACCATGCGTGGGCTCTTGCGCACATTATAAGTATTTGGTTTTCGGAAACTGTTCTGCGAAAACAATATAGCACAGTGATCCGGTTTACATTCGTCAGTGCACAATATCATTAACACTTGCCGGTACTAGTACGTTGACTTGCTGTAAAAAATCCGCTTTAGTAAGAATATTCTGCATCATGCATGAGATCAGGGTGCTGTTTGATGGACGTTATAACTTTGCGTGATACTGGTTTGCGCTTTATACAGATTGCAATACAGAAAGTTCATAATTGCATGGGATCTTTGCATTAAATATCCGATTTATCTCCATTTATCACAAGTTTGCTGGTAGATACCTAGACCAAATACCCTTTGCTCTGTTATATTGATAATTCTCCCCATCACTTTGCTTTCATCTAGCTTCAAGGAGTTTATCATGTCAAGGAATTAATATTTCCGCATTTGTGCTCAGCAAATTCAGAACGTAGTTTGCTCCCGCTGAGGGCAATAAATAACCGACCATCTTACAGAATGAGATACAGTCTCATCTTATCTGGTGCGACTACTCCAACTAACAGAGTCCGGAAATGACTGTTACCGAAGACACAAGGTTGGCAGAGGACGCTAAGAACTGGGTGTTCGTTCCTGCTAAGGACGGTATTCCGGCATATCATAAATATAATCAGCCCATTCAGAAAGGCTCTATTGACGACCGTGAATACTGCATTATCCGTCTAGACAATCACCTTGAAGCCACGATTGTTAGCGACAAGGATGCAGACAAGTCCGCCGCTTGTATGGATGTCGCAGTGGGATATTTCCAAGATCCGGTAAGCAAAGTCACATGATACTTCTGTTTCTGTATACCCGATGGCACGGTTTTATCGGTTAAATATGGCCACCCTTGACAATGTTACCGTTTACTTACCCGCGTACAGGAAGATATGCAAGGCACTGCCCATTATTGCGAGCACTTAATGTTCATGGTAAGCTACGCTATTGAAATCCCTCTTGAATCTTCAGCCCGCATAATATTGACTAATGTTTTCTGTTCCCGTGCTTAAGGGCTCGGAAAAACATCCACAAGAAAATGGGTACTCCGAGGTAAATTCTATTCTTAAGGATTAAAGGTTGACTATGTTTACGCGAGTCTTGTCTTGAATAGTATTTTAACTTGCACACTGGCTATTGCAACGCCTGGACGGGAGGTTCTGACACTGGTTTTCATTTCAGAGTCGCCTCTGATGCACTTAAAGGAGCACTCGTGCTCTTTTCTGAATTCTTCTACTGCCCGCTTTTTTCCGAAGGCTCTGCACTGCGCGAAATTGAGGCGGTTGATTCTGAGTATTCAAACGCACTCCAAGATGACCCTTGGAGGCTAGTGTATCTTTTACGTTCCCTCGCTCGTCCCGGACATCCAATACGAAAGTTCAACCACGGAAGCAAAAAATCAATATTAGAGAAGTATCTTGCATCAGAGGCATCGCCCTCGCAGCGAAACTCAGACAGGGATAGGCACGATCGTGGATCGTCGACATCAAGCAGAAACTCCGCAAATGAGGGCTCCTTGAGAAAGGAAAGCACTCTAATGCGAACATCCTCACACGGAAGCGACGTGCACAAACACATAACCAGTTCTACGAGCAAGTCATTGCCTACCAAGCAATCTGCAAAAGATGGCCAAAGTCATGGTAGGACCCCCAGCAGAAGCTCCACTCAGAGCACTCGTTCGGCAAACCGCGCACATTCAGAATCGAGAAGCAGTGATAGAAGCAAGGCATCGTCCGTAACGTTAAGTAGAGCCAGCTCTCATCGTGGCAGGAAGGGCGCAGAGGCTTCAGACACTATGAAGGTTAGGAGGGCGGCAGAGAAAGAAGCTGCTTTGAGGGCTAGAGATAGATTGATTAAATGGTGGAAGAAGGAATATTGTGCGGGCAGAATGAGTTTGGCTGTTGTCGGGAAAGGTCTGTCCGCTTCACCTTCGCAGTCTATCTTAATTCTGATAGTGAGAAGAACCCCTTGACCAGCTCACACGCACGGTCGTGAAGGTCTTCCATCCGGTTCAAAACAGGCAGCAAGACCCTACCCCATTTGCATCCATGAAACAGCCGTACGGAAAACAAGAGCTAGGTGTATGTGTTTCCGAACCCTGGTCTACTCTTAATTCCGATGATACTCACGTGGTATCTGTCAGAAAATTGTTTATGTTAAATCAATCAAGGAGACGTACAATATCATTATTACCTTTCCTATCCCCTGGCAGGATCCTTTCTGGCGTGAAATACCAGCGTCATTCGTTGCTGAACTACTTGCTCATGAAGGTTCTGGTTCACTGCACGCCTACTTAAAAAATAAAGGATGGCTCGTAACGTTAACTGGTGGAGAAGCGAGCGGAGATCGGGGGTTTAGTTTGTTCGAGATTGAATTGGAATTGACTAAGGATGGATTCAGTAGGTATCTCTCACTTCTAGGACATGTTCTTACACCAATGATGTCCATTTAGAGTACCAGAAAGAGGTAATATTAACATGCTTCAAGTTTATCAATCTACTTCGCAAGGCTAAATTTCCAGAATGGATGGTGGAGGAGCTGAAGCTGATTCGAGAGCTATCGTACCGCTTCAGGGAGAAAGGCGATGCTATGTCTCATGCAAATCGCATTGCCTCATTTATGAAATACCCGACTCCGCGTGCACTACTTCTCAATGGTCCTGCTCTCCTCTGGAAATGGGATGAGGGGCTTGTAAACGACATATTGAAGAAGCTGGACATCGGGAATTGCTTTATTATTGTGTCCGCTACGGATCACGATCATATTCATGGGGAGACATGGCGTAAGGAACGGTTGGGTGGTGCGGAGTACGTTGAGAGAAGGTTTGAGTCAGGGTTTATTTCTGAGGTAAGTATGTTTACTTATTGATACCAGCCCTATATAACATTCTGCTTATTATCTCCAGGCTCGTAAAGATAATGACATTTCCGAACTTGCTTTGCCAGAACCCAACCCATTTCTTCCAGACAACCTTGAGGTCAATAAAGTGCGCGTCAGCGAGCCGAGGAAACAACCCGCACTTATTGAGCGCACATCACTCATGGAGGTATGGCATAAGAAGGACGATCGGTTCTGGGTTCCTAAAGCTATTCTGCAAATTTCGGCACGGACGTAAGTTAATACTTACTTATGTTCCTTTGTTTCAATATCTATATTTACTATTCTCTTGTCTATGCAGACCTACTGCTACAGCTACTCCTCGTGCTCTGATATTGACACAAATGTTCATAGACCTTGTGAAGGACGCACTCAACGAAGACGTTTACTGTGCAAGGGTGGCGGACTTTAAATACAGTCTAAAAAGTACTATTCGTGGTTTTGGGATAGAAATTGAAGGTTACAATGATAAACTGCACGTTCTCTCCAAGGCAGTCGTTGCCAAGATTAAGCACCTTAAGATTCGAGAAGACAGATTTAAGGTTATGGCTGAACTAGTTACGTTACGTCAAACATTGATCGATATACGAAAGCTGACATTGAAGTAAATTGTTTAGACGAAGAAAAATTTGAAAAATATGCAATTTAAACCACCTTATAAACTGTCTATGCGCCACTTTGATTACATTACAGAAGATCGTGAATTCAGCATCGAGGAGAAATTAACAGCGTTGAAAGGTCTTTATTGTTACTATTTCGGTTATTGGATGTTGACTAATAGTGAACAGGTATCACGGTTGAGGAACTGTCCAGGCATGTCACCGCGTTGCTATCACATCTTAAACTAGTAGTACTTGTCACTGGTAACATTGGAAAGGAGGTTGGTTAAACGCTATATCAAATTGATGTGAAAAACGTATTCACTATCATTTAGGACGCTCTTAATATCGCATCCACTGTAAGGAAAACACTCCTCACAAAACCCGTTCCGGACGACAGGCTCCCAGAGCTGCGGACGCGTCTTCTTCCCAAAGGTATGCATACCGCGTACCGTGCACACAGTTCTAATGATGATCACGGCAGGATGTAGTTATGTCTGGGATCTACCTGTACCCAACGATAAAGAGACCAACTCAAGTGTATACTATTATTGTCATATTGGCAGCGTTTCCGACCCACATACTCGCGTGACATGCTGTCTGCTTAGCCAAATCATGGATGAGCCGGCATTTAATCTTCTTCGGACGAAAGAACAACTCGGATACATAGTTCATTCCGAAGACACAGAGAATACTGAATCAATTGGTCTGTATGTGATAGTGCAGAGCGAGACAAGCCCGAAGTACGTTGAATCGCGCATTGAAGCATTCCTAATACATATGCGTAAGACAATCCGGGAAATGTCAGACGAAGAGTTAATGAACCACAAGGAGTCACTCAGGAAGAGTTGGGCAGAAAAGCCGAAGTACCTCTCCATGGAATCAGGAAGGTTTTGGTCTTTCATTCATGACGGAAGCTATGATTTCAGGCGCAGGGACGACGATACACAGCTCCTTCATAGCGTATTGTTATCAGATGTCCGTTCGATGTTCGAGAAGCATGTGGATCCATCGTCGAACACTCGTTCCAAGCTCTCGATACACATGCATTCCAAAGTACCACCTAAGCCTCCCAAAGTTCATATCCACCCGAACGTTAGCATTCGTGCCTCTAGGGAGTTCCTCGGAGTACTAAACGAAACAAACATATCTGTAGACAAAGATGAATACAATTCAAAGTGCGATCTTGAACTGATTGTGCCTGACATGCACAACTACTTGAAGGAGACATGCTTAAAGAACTTGCTCCAAAGTAATAGTAGGAAAGTCAAGGAGTTGCTTGGAAAGCTGGATTTGCTTGTAGAGATGTATCCTGTAAAATCTGCTTTGGAAGCTAAACATATACAGGATGGTGGCAAGCTCAAACATAGTCTTGCTCTCTCTGATGTTACAAAACCAGTAAAGACGTTCAAAGTGGAATAGTCCTTGAAAGATTTAGAAACTTTTAAATTGTAGGGTGCTAATGTGGTATAAATCAGCAATAGACTAGAATTTTTATTTAATTTATTAATTCATCATACATAGTATGGTCATTAATGCTACATATGTCTGCAACTACTGTAGCCCTGCCCTGATCCGGTCCACCCCTATTTTTGTAGGACCTGGACAGACTGCTATGCCGGGCCTAGGTATAATTTAGAATTGGACCAGGACTCAACCAGACTGTTTGTAAACCAGACCAGAGGTCTTGTTCAAGTCCAGTCTGTGCCATTCTTGGACCCAAGTGCTCGGAAAGTAGAAGTCGTTACGGTTTTGTGTCTATATGCAGTAAAGAACAGAATATTAGGTATGCTGATACGTATATATGGTGTCTTACAGCTTGAATCTATTGCAGTGTAATTTGTATTACAGTCTATTTGGTTGTTTCGCAACCATCTGACAATTAAATCCTTACGGGCCCTCGTGAATTTCCGGGAGCTGAAATTATGTAAACATGTTGTAGTAAGGCTGTTTCTTTTCAAAATTCAAAGCGGTGATTGCTTGTCCACTGGTAGTATTTTCCGCGGCTTCGTACGCGTCTTGATCATAAGTATGTCACGTACGAAAGCTCTGCCATCAGGAACCTCCAGAATAGACGCTGGTATGGCTATACGTACGGCATGTCGGCGCGCCTGTACTTGGTTGCAATCAGCACTGGCTATGTCACCTGCCCCATCGTCCTCTTGGAGGACCTGGGTTGACCTTCTCTTTTCTTGCATTTTCTTGCATCTGGGTCCTCTCTTGCCCACTCTAGAATGCAGTCTCGACCTGCCATCTCGCCAAGCTCATCGTGGAGATCCGGGCTTGGGCACTTGCAGGACTCACATGCCGAGCCGGGCGACGTGCTCCGTAGAACACTCGTGAAGCTCGCTCATCTCGACCTGACGCGACACGTCAAGTATGACAGTGCGGTCATGAAGGCACATGGAGGATATTGTGATGTCTTCGTCGGAACTGCAAATATCCCAGTCAGCGAGAAAGACAGAGATTTCGTTCCTGCTGCGGGTTCAGCAGAGCAACGACATCTCGTCAAAGTCGCTATCAAGAGGCTCCGAGTTCACATTCAAACTGAACGGGTATTTGCGAGGGTATGTCCAGGCGACGATCGAAAGTGATTTTTTTAACCAGAAGTTCTACTTACAGCGACTGGCAAAAGAACTTGCGATCTGGTCGAAGCTAGATCATACGAACATTCTTCCGCTTCTTGGCTACGTCATGGAAGGTGATTATCCTTCCGTTGTCTCCGAATGGATCGAGAATGGAACGGTTGGAACGTACCTGAAGGCAAATCCCAACGCGGATCCGGTACCTTTGGTTCGTTACTTTCCTCCGAGATTAACGTTATCGCAAGTTTTGAAGATACCCAGCTAATGCTTATTTTAATATTAATTAACTAAGATAGTCGGAATAGCAAATGGTCTCAATTATCTACATAGAAATGATATCGTTCATTCTGATGTCAAGGCGGTACGTATGAAATTTGCACACCCTGGAATTATGTTGATGGAGGCAACCAATTTTTAATAGGATAATGTCCTGGTAGACCATACCGGCAAGCCGCTAATCTGCGATTTTGGGATCTCACGTGTACTTTCCTCAGCACTGAGCATCACCGGAACGAGCACAGGTGGATTAAGGGGTTCCATCCGATGGATGGCCCGTGAACTCCTCGATGTCCCAGGCGACATTCGTCATACCAAAGAAACCGATGTCTGGGCTTTCGGGATGACAGTATACGTGAGCCCGTTAATAAATATGTGTGACAAACCGAGACACAGTATTTACCCTTGTTATTTTTCTTACTAGGAAATATTGACTGGAGAGTTTCCTTTCGCTCATCTGAAGTTGGACGTTTTCGTTGTACTTGCTGTCATGCGCGGTGAATTGCCAGTACGTCCACCCGCTTTTGTGGAATGGTCAGAGACTCTTCAGTCGATCTGGAGTGTTTGCGAAAAGTGTTGGGTTTCTTCTCCGGGGAATCGTGTCACTATGGAGAATATTGTCGTTATGCTAAAAGAGAATGTTGTGGAGTCCGACTCCGATACAGTTGTCGAAGCCGAACGTGGTGAGAATTTTCTGCATTTATTCCTTATGTCATGACCAGACAACTAACCAGATGTACTCTATTTTAGCAGAAATTCTACCCAGAGAAACGGTTACAGAAAGTCAGAAAATCACAAGGATTCGTCCATCCGGCATCTCACTCGCGAGAGAAAAGATGATGATGCAACAACCATTCAGATTATCAGGCAGTCCTCCATTCAAACCAGAGCCAATTGATTTGACTCGAACGTCATCTGCTCCACGACTTTCATCTTGTTCATCTTCGCCCCTATCTGGGCCGTGTTCTTATAACTCATATTATACCGCACCTAGTACGACTCCGGTTTAGTCTGGATGCTTTCAATTTTCTGTTCGTTGTGCTGTTGTAATGCTCTCCTCAAGCTGTCAGTTTTATAGTTCTGCGTTCGGGTATTATCTTTTCCCCGGTCGGTTTTATGGATTTCGGAGCCAGTTGTATTATAGTACAGTAAAAGTAAATGATATCACGGGACAAGAAAATTTAATCTGGACGTTGGAGCTGATTTTCGCCTCAATTGATGTCACTATTGGCCAGAACTTACAAACTTGTTTGTACAAGATAGCTTCTGGGAGATAACCAAGGGTAGTGTCATTGCAATGTAAAATGTAGGGAAAGTGCGAAGAAGGAAAGCATAAAATAGCGATGCCAACACAACAAGTATGCAATACAACAGTAAACATATACGGGAAAGCAAGAATGAAAAAGAGAAAGAGTGGATAAATGAGAAAATACTGAAACGGGAACAACCTAGTCCACCAAACCCTAAGATTCAGTTTGGTCGCTCGATCCCTTTATACGGACGCGCGCGACGCCAATCTCGTAGTCTCCTAAAAGTCGAGCTTTCTCGATTTCGACGATCTCGTCCTCTTCGTCGCTTATCGATTTGGCGCAAGACTTTTTGAAAGCTGAGGAACTCGAAGTCGGACTTGGCATAGCGATTAAGACAGAGACCTGTGTATGTACATCCTTTGGCTGCTTGGCCCCAATATTTGTAGGTGGAGTGTTGGTGGGTGCCAGTTCTGGGTTTCTGTTCGTATCCCTGTTCCTTAGTCTCGCCCGATGTAGAAGTGAAGGAAGGTCGGAAGGCGGTAGAATGAAAGTTGCAGTTGTGATCCGCCGTGATGTAGATCGATGCGATCGTCGTGCGGGAGGCGGGGGTGGCGGTGCGGAGTTGAATGGACGGCCAAAGCTCCTCGAGCTAAACAAGAATGATGGGGAATATTCTTGCGGAGGATTGTGTTCAAGTAAAGCGGGAGGTACTTCGGATGCAGCATTTGGTAAAGGTGTCGAACGCTTCTTGCTTATCTTGGGTCGCAATACAGATGCAGATAAAGGCTGTATAGAAAGTAACATCTTGTATCAGTAACATGATAGCAAAAACAGGATTTTAAGAGGTAAAATGTCTCTCTTGGCGCCAATACTTCCTTTAGGGAGACGTAAAAACAAGATCGACAGGGACCAAACTCACTGTCATGTCTTTCCACTCTTCCACCCCGGGTTTTTCAGCTATCCTAACGTCCCATAACTGTGGCTTCTTCATTTTCACAGATTTATGATGACCAGCATCCCCGAACTGTGTCCTAGCACCGGCTCGTCTAAGTTGCGCGGCTCGCCGTGAAGAATATCCACATGCCATAAATCCAACGAAAAGCGCAAGAAACGTAATCAAAAAGCCGAACAGTAAAGACGAAGAGCGTGAGATCGGCGGCATGCCATCATCATTATTGTCATTGCTCGATGGGCTTGGGCTGCTACTACTAAGGAATGACGACGAAGAAGGACTGGATGAGGATGAGATAGCTGTAAGCGGTAAAGAGCCCGAGAATGACGGCGACAAGGTGCCTGTTTGGGACGGAGAAGACATATTTTATCGCTGGTATCTGCCGTGAATTGCTTGGACGAGACGATCCAGCGGTAAGGATGCCCCAAGCCAGTGGTTGCGGGAGGCTAGTGGATGGGAATGAAGAGGCCAGCGAGCTTCCGTGAGCTTATGTGCATTATAGACGAAGCACAACAACATCTCCCACCCAGATCGCCCTCTTGCCTTATTCAGTTTCATTCTTCGCCCACGGCCGTATAATTATTTTGTCTTGGTCGGATAGGTCCATCGCCTCCTTCACATATCCGCTCCAGGAATTTGCCGTTCGACAGCCGTAATAACGCGTAGGTGTTCATAGCGCAAACAACCCAGGCAATATCTGTGATCAAGCATTAAAGTGTTTTTTCACGGCGATCTGTCACTGAAAATATGTTAGCTCCATTTTGTTAACATCAGCCGAATTGAAGCGGAGCCTAAACTAAACTCATCATGTCCTGTCGTCGCTCTTTGCTACCATCCTGCATGTAAGGATTTGATTTACTGGTTTGTATTTTACTATTACTACATTGCTGATTGTATCAGATCATTGTACAGTAGGACCCACAAGCACATATATTCTCATTGTAGTTAGTTACACTTCCTCCTTATGTATCTACACGTGTATACCCTTATAAAAGACAGTATTGACTGCTGGGTAAAGGGGATTCTTTTCCCCTGACCCCTCACTCAAGTACTAGGTTATCCCAGTCAGTAGTTGAGTGAACTAAGAGTGATTAGAATTCTCTTGTGAGGAACAGTGAGTTTCCTTACATATTTTTGACTGTACCCACCTAGCACTGAAACCCCTTGCTAGATGCTAAGGAACCAAAGAGTCTGATCAACCCTAGGTCTCCCTCATTGTCTAGTATCCCTCAGGAATTTTTAGTGAGTAAAGTTATGATTTTTGAGTAGAAACAGAGACTACTTACTAGATTAGCCCCTAGTAGGTTCACAATACTTTAGAACACTGTAAAACACTTCTAGAACACATTATCACATATTAATATAGACTAGCACTAGATACACTAGAGGTTTGCATTAATCAGATAGGTTGAGGACTAGGCATCTGTAACAGTGAAAAGGAACAAATAAGTGTGTATTGAGTTTACAAATAATAGACAACAAGATTACCTATTGGATATTGATTACAATGTGGCTGCCAAGCCTTGACTGACAATTCCTAGAGGGTACCCAAGTCTGGATATTAATACTAACATGCTAGAAAGTAAGTCCTCATCCCTTATAGGCTGGAGGCAACCTAATAAACCTATACCAGGTGATAAGTCCTTGTCTACACAAGGCTGGAGGCACCCTGATGAACTAGTACATACTAATAATGTAGAATTAAGGTATGTAACTGTACTAACACATATAGTTAGTCAAATACATACTGTAGAGTAGAAACTAGTGAGTACTCACACTTCTAGACTTGTAGAAATAGTAAATACCAGTATAAAGAGTAAAGACACTCAGGTGATTAGATTCAAGGATTTGTCCAATTAAGTACAGAAGGTTGAGTTTGAGGATTCAACTCACTGAGTACAGGCAATTGAGCTTGAGGATTCACTCAATCAATTTCAGACTACCAAGTTTAAGGATTCACTTGATAGAGAACAGACAATTTGGTTTGAGGATTCACTAAGTCAATATAGAAAGCTAACAGCAAGTATTGAGGAATTTGCAAGCTAGTACAAGAGTTACAGAGTGTATATAGTTAGTATCAGTGAGAGTGTGGATAAGTATCTAGTGAGTACACTTACTTCAGAATGGAAACACATTAACAATAGTAATGTAGAGGGTAATAAGACATCTAAAACCCTTTTAGACAGTAAAGAATGTAGCCAGGACTCAAAGAACAAGAGTAACAAAGGCTAGGAGAGCTAGGCATCAAAACTATAGAGAATCAATAAGGAACAAGACTTCCAGAAGGCAAGTAAGACCTTCAGACACATTACAAGAGCCAGAGCAATTGAGATAGACATAGGACATGTCAGCCCATTCTACAGTTCAATAGACATCAAAGATTTGAATAAGAGAATGTACAAATTTGATAGGATGTATTAGGAAGAGGAGAAAGCAACTCCTTCATTAAACAAGAGCAGACTTGATAGTATAGTAACAGAAAAGTATAAAACGCTTCAGGCAGGCTACAGAACAAAAGCCAGACATACTATAGTACTTACAGACAGTAGAGATCAGAACTATTGATCTAAGAGTGTAGAAGAAACACTCAAGAGTCTAGACAAACTATTACATTTGTAGAAAGCAAAAGGAAAGCACAAAGTAAGAGGAATACACAAAGTGTAAGGAATGGAACAAAAACCAGAACTGCCAGGCATTCAATACAATTGTGAAATCAATTCAGACTATCCAAGTGAAACAGACATTGTATCAACAGAACAGTACTTTAAGGATAGCAAAAGTGAACACATATTAGAACTATAAGGATTAGTACTTGATCTAGAGAGTGAAAATCAAGCATACACTCATAAAATCAAGTGTTTAACCTTATACATAGTAGATATTAACTACACATTGTACAGGAGCAATGTACAGGAGTACTACAACAGATACAACACTCTAGTCAGGTCCAGGAATAAGAGAGAAAGTGAAATACTTGGATATATGTGGTCTCAAATAGAAACATTGAGTTTTTCAGGTCATCAGAGTATCCCTTACAAAAATAAAAGGAACAAACAATCCTATAGTAATACTTCACAATTGAAAGCAGTCCCAGGCAAGACATACACTAGTAGTATTAGTGAGGTCAATATTGATTTAGAGTACAGTAAACTATACAGTTCAAAGCCACATATTGAGTGTAGCAAGTATAAGAATAGCTCTAACTATAGTTTAAGAATGAACAATGGACACAAGTATAGTAAAGCACTGAATAATGTTCAGAAAGGTATATTTGCATTAGTAAGACCTTTAGAGAGCCTAGCAAAGAATAGCTACACATACAGAGTAATACAGAGCTCTAGGATACAGAGAAAGGGAAATTTCGACTCAGGATCAGACTCAGACAGTAATAATTCAGATTCCTCTTCATTCAATGACTACAATCAAAGTAATACTTTATTCAAACTGTCAGACATTGATTTGAGTGATACTAAAGCTACTAAGAAGTGTAAGAAACACTTGAGGAAGAAACAGAACAAAGAACTCCTCAAATTGAAGATACAGATATACAGTACAGAACTAATAGCTTCTACAGTATACTCAGGTGAACCAGACTTGCAGAAGTATACAAAGTTTGTTATTGAAGTCAATCAGTACATGAAACAATCAGGACTTTATCATTTCCCTAAGAGCCAAGTAGGGATAATGCTAGGTTTTATTAAGGGAAAAGTAATGAATTTCTATTTACAAAAGATTGTGAACCATGAGCATCAATAGACACTTGCTCAGTTTTTTAGAGGACTTATAGACTTTTGTTTCCCTTCCAACTTTACTAAAATACTGTAGAAAGAGTTTAATACTTTAAAACAAGGTAATAGGAATGTTCAGGATTATTTGTATAATCTAGAAATGAAAGCTACAAATCTAGGAAACATTTCTCAGCAAGATTTGACTAGACAGGCATAGTATGGATTGAATTCCAAGTACTAGAGACAATTACAATTAGATTGCTTGAATCCAGACACTGTAGATTACTCAATCTTCAAGGATAAGCTTGAGAGTATTGAAAAAGCAAATGAATCCATAGGAATCAAATGGCACATAGATTCTAGACATTAATTCCATCTACAAGGATGTAGTAATAATTCTCAGAGTGATTATTTGCATACAGACAGTTCTGATAATTCAGGAAACAATCAATTCACTCTACAGGATAGTGAAAGTGATGATTCAGACTATAGTGACTCTAGTCAGAATACTATGCATACAAGCAGTACAAACACTAAAGGAAAGGCCAGACAATTGTATTATCTATTAAGGAACAATAACTAGTATGAAAGCAAGACAGGAAACCATTAGAGAACATACACTACAGGTTTCAAACATTATTCCTAATTGAAATTGGATAAAATGAGAGCAAAAGGACTATGTTTCATTTGTGAACAAGATGACCACTTAGCCAGGAATTGTCCTACTCACAATACAATCACATTGAACAATGTGTAGGATGATTGTTTATTATCTAGTAATGTCAGTATCAATTATACTACTTTAGATAAGTTAGCAGACAACTTGGACAGTAAGAACTACATAGAATTAGAGTCAATTATGGACTATGAGACAGATTCTTACATATCTAGTAGTAATATACATGTTTTATCGATTTGAATACTTTGTGAAGGTAATACTAAGGATTCAGTAACAGAACAAGAGAGTTCTACAACAGGACACAAGTTCAGGCAGGCAAACTATACATTTGAAAGGGCAAATTCAGTATATTTGAGACCCTATGAGACTATAGCACTTAGGCATTATACTACAGGCATCCAGTACAGGAATAAACATTATAGGAAGTCTAAACATTAAGATAGACAATTGTATAGTGTATACAATAACATTTTACACTCAAAAGCACAGGCATACAGTGTAGAAAGGATTCTACAAGACTACAGATATGTATAGTACATGGAAAGGACTAGGAAACATGTATACAACCATTGTTTCAAGGAATCTAAGATACTACAGGTGTAAGGCAATACATACATGAACACTTTAGAGACACTACTACCAATTCTTAGAGCCACAAATCAAAACAACACTCTTAAGAAATACAGGCTGTTTACAGACAACAGGAATGCATACTAGGATATTAGGAAAGGACCTGAGAATGTTAGAAGATTGGAATATAACCAGCCAGATAGTATTATAGTTTACAAGGTGATGTAAAGAGTAAACTACACAAGCAGGACAATCTATCAAGTATTACTAGACTATAAACTACAACTACTCTTAGATACTAAGAAATATTTCAATCCAAACAATTCACACAGGTATTCTATTAAGTTAGAAGGCTACATCATGTATTGAAAGACAGACATTAGTAT